CCCCGTTAGAGCGCCCCCCCCCCCCCCCCCTTACATTTGCCCCCATTACATTAGTTGTGGCCTCTCAGATAAAGTCCAGGGAAGGTGAGTATGTAAGAGGCCCACACCAATTTTTACAGTGTTCAAAACATTTATTGCATCATAGAGATCCAAACTAACAATGGATTTCAGCAGCTAAAAATGAAGCCTCTTCATTATGTTGATGAAGACTTTCATTGCAGAATCCAGTTAGTGAAAGAGGACTAAGTTGTAATAATAAATTCTGAAATAAAGTATCTGTTGGGAACACACTCATTGTTTAAAAGGCTAAAAGCTTCAAACCACTAACTGCTGAAACATCATTGACCCTGTGTAAGTTCTGGCACCAGCTTACACAGGGTTTGACTACCAGATGGAGCAGCTTGGCAGCACAGTAAAAATTACTATAAATGGGTCGGGGGTGAAATAGTAAAATACTCTTTAAAGAAACCCTGTTGCCCAACCATTAATTTCAACAACAATCTACCCATAAGATTACATGTGCATTTTTTTTTAATAATTCTTTATTTTGGAAAAGAAAAAACAGGTTCATCCATACAATAGCATAGCATTTCGATGCATATTATACAATAATCCTTGTATATAAAAGAATCGGCAAAGCTGATACGCAATAAGTATTTGTCTTGACTCGAATCTGAGCCGTAGGTCTAGGGTATACCGCCATTATCCATGCCATCATCATCTCGCCCAGACCCATCACTCTCAACACTGACAAACAAGACAAACACAACAAAAACTAACGGTGTATCTACCCCAAACTATACCCACCCTGGGGAATTATCCCAAATGATGGGAGAACCTAAGTGGGAATGTGGCTAAACTAAGCAGGGTTCCACTCAACCCCCCCCCCGCTCCAAGCCAGGATTAAATAGAGTGATGAGACACTCACAATATGTAACTTGGGCTGGGGTCCCACTCTGCAGGCACAGGCCCATCCCGCCCCTACGGAAGTCTTGCGGGGTGTTGGTTAGTGGCTCCATCTCAGGAGATGGGGGTGGGGAGGTGTGGGACGTGGACGGCGATCGACGTGTGTCCGACCCCGGCCGCGCACCACTACTCGAGGCCGCAGCTTTCTTGAGGCCTACCTCTGTGCTCGTCTGTCCCGCGGGTGAGAAGAACGCCTTCAACTTGCCTGGCGCTTGCGGTTTGGGTGTCTCGGGCGCCTTCTTCTGCCAGGTTTTGCTCATCTTTTGGGGTCTTGTGGTGCTGTGAATCGTCCTGGCAAAGGAGCGGTGCGGGAGAGACGGAGAAGAAACGTGCTCACTCCGCCATAGCTAGGACACGCCCCCTACATGTGCATTTTAACACATTCTATGCATGTTAATTACTTGTATAAGCCTCTCTTGTGTAGATGTCTAAAAGCCCTGAGACTTCTTCTGGGGGCAGTTATCTTATATGTGATGTCAAAGGCCCCAGCAGACTCAAGTGCTACATTAAAGGTTATGTCGGGAGGGGAGGGGTGGAGGAGCTGGACCAGCATATAAGTAATTAGACACTTCCAAAAGAGGAGAGAGCTTTAAAATGCAAGGAGAGAGGAGGCTGTGCTCGGGCATCGACTATTATTTTAATAGTCAACTTTTATAGCAAGTTCAAAGGCAAATTGCAAGTGAATAAAAGATAATTTATGGAATGGAAACATTATGTTAGTAAGCATTTAAAATACTTGTGTTTCTATCTGCATTTTTTTATATGTTGGTGACAGGGTCTCTTAGGGCACCACCTAACCTAACGTCTGCCACAGTGCACCAGGGATGAAATACTATCTTATAATCTGATTTTCTATAGGAAAACTCCAGGCTTTGGTAAGAAGTAACATGTAATAATGTAATAACCACTGAAAGTCAATATTATGGTAAATTTCTAGCTATTTGTAGCATTTAAATTATTTCAAGTTTTCTTTTTAAACCTTCAATAATGATATGCAAATTAAGCTGCTTTCATTTACTCTCACATTGCTGTTCTGTGGCAATAAACATCCCTTCTGTGTATGACTCACCATGTAGTTTCAAACACTAACAAGTTACGCATACACAGGTATGCTGAGGGGATTTGCGACACAATCACCCAATCAGCATCAGAGGATCATGTAAGCCAAGAAATTATCTCTGCAATAATTTCCTGGGAGGACAATCTGCACACATGATGAAGTATTATCTGTCTACTGTGCTGGCAATGCATATGATAAACAATTTATCATTTGATTGCCCATAAATTTAATAATTCCTAATAATCCTCTTTTTGAAAACAATCTTTAGACATTACAAAAAATTGATTTGGCCAAATGTCATTTCATTTTCCATCAGGATTCATTGTTCCTTTTTGACGAAAATAGTTACTGACCAAATTGCGCATTTAGTGCAACTGATGCAGTACATGTATGGCCAGCGGAGCATAATAACAAAAAGTCATACTTGTGCCATGTGTGCAGCCTCCCCACCCAGAAAATATGTAGTACTTTTTTGGAAATAAGGACTGCTACATAACCATGCCATAATACACTGGCATCCTATTCACTTGTGTTGGAATCAAAGGCAGAATAAAGCATTATTAGCGCCCTCCTCCTCACAAGGATTTTCGTACCAATGCATGCATTAAAACTGGGCATATCCTCAACATCCTTTTTGTTTTGTTCCACATTATTTATGTCAGGAAAGCAGTTAATGAGGATCCAGCTGACAGTCACAGCTGCTCCTCTGCTGGCAGGATGGCATATGCTAATGTGGTGTGAAGCTAGGAACAATCTGAGGGCAAACTTAATGCACTTGGCAACCACAATCTAGAAAAGGACATCCAGGGAAAGTCACCCTTCTATACATTTTATATGGAACTTTCATAGTAGGTAAAATAATTCACTGTAGGTGTCTTGGGATAGATCTTGGTTTCTTAAACTAAATGTTAGTTTCCTTAGATATTGATAGAATGTAACCTGTGTTCCTAATTCTTACTATGTTTTGTTTGTTACAGATGGGCCAGTAACAGTCGGTATGAGTTTGGATATTGCCAGCATTGACACAATATCAGAAATTAACATGGTGAGCTGACCAGACTGGTATGATTAAAGTCAGCCATTTGACAGAAAGGATTTTTAAGTGACACTTTAATGGTTGGGGGTCAATATATATACATATGCAGCAGAATAGAGAATCTTGCAACAATAGTACTATATATCCATACCTGAGATTAATCTGTAATTGAAAAATCAAACCTTGCTTGCGTGTTATTACTTTTACTGGTTTCACCACTTCATCACTACTTGTCTGACTTGCTGATATTGTGTTTTAGATTTGTTTATGTTGCTTGAAAATTACCTGAAACTGTTGCCAGTCTGTACATGTTCTGCTGAATTTTAGTAAATCTACACTATGCTCTGCAAACATTCTTATTGTGGCTTCTTATATGATTGAGCCTTTTGGACGAGGCTCTGTTTGCAGACACTAAACTAATGCTAAAGGAGAACTATGGGGTTAAGGCTTTTCCCCATAGTTCTCCTTAGGGTAACGGGAGGACACAAACTAGCGCCCTCCCGTCACCCTAAGCCCAGTATACCGCAAGCTACAGCTCGCGGTATACTGAGACGCCGCAGCTGAAGCGGATCCCGAAAATTATGTCTGGATCCGCCCAGCTGCGTGAGTGACAGCCTGCTCTGCCTATCTAGAGACAGAGCCAGCTGTACCCGCCCCCTCCCCTGTCACGGCAGAGAGCTGTGACAGGATCGAGAGGTGAGCGAACGCCGGTATGTGTTCGCTCACAGTCTCATTGTCATATATATATTTCTAAAAGAGTCGCCACACACCTGCTTTCTTTGGAACATGTGCATGTACAAACTGAACACAACCTGCCCTTCCTCAAGTTCACAGCTGTCTATCTATATGTCTATCTATCTATCTATCTATCTATCTATCTATCTATCTATCTATCTATCTATCTATCTATCTATCTATCTATCTATCCACTATCAATCTTTTAATATCTTTGTTATCATCTATCTATCTATCATCTATCTATCTATCTATCATCTATCTATCTATCATCTATCATCTATCTATCTATCTATCATCTATCTATCTATCTATCTATCTATCTATCTATCTATCTATCTATCTATCTATCTATCTATCCACACACACACTTTTAATATCTTTGTTTCATAAATAAACATTTATTATCACAAATAATTCACAGAGTTATGGGTTATCTAAAGAGACAGCACAGGAGAAGCCCCTTCCCTTCAGGTTTGTTGTGCCTGATTGAATTCTCTGGCATAGCCATATTGAAGGTGGGCAAGAAATACTGATCTGACTGTGTTTTGCATTTCTATGTTATTAGCGCGTATGCCTAAGTAGGGTACACATGGAGTGAATTCCCGCAGAATCAGCAGGGATCGGTCAAAATTTGCTCCGTGTGTACCATATTTCATAGGCAGAAGTCAATCATTAGATTGACTTTTGCCGAAGGAACATGTTGGAAATCCTTTGGCCGAATGGTGCCTACAAGCAATCAGCTACAAGCACTCTTTGAGTAATCTTGACAGCCCCTGCCGTCCACTGTCAGAATACAAACTGTCAGAATACAAAGTTCACAGTGGGAGATTCGTCCATAAATGCTGTAATCTTTTATATGTTCTCCGCTCAGCCTGCAGGTTGAATTAAGTAAATATAAGCATGTCTCCCTGGCTTGAGCTTGTTGCTTTGTACTATCTAGAGAATTCTTTACTTAAAATTTTACATTGCATAATGTCTTACAAATGCCTTTTTTAAAAAAAAGGATTACACAGCGACCATCTTCCTGAGGCAGCGCTGGACAGATGAAAGACTTATCTTCGAAGGAAACAAGAGCCTAAGTTTAGATGGCCGTCTGGTGGAATTATTGTGGGTCCCTGATACATTTATAGTGGACTCCAAAAAGTCATTTCTTCATGACATCACTGTGGAAAACCGCCTCATCCGGATTTACCCCAATGGGACTGTTCTTTATGCTTTAAGGTACACACTTTGCAGTAATACTTAGTAAACTCGCCTGTACATATCAGCATTAGTGATCAGAAAATTTGCTTGGGTTCCATTCACAGGATGTTCAGCAAACAAGTCATAAAATCTGCAAATTGCAAACATGAATGCAAATCTATAGAAGTCAACAAGGGGAGCCAATAGGCAAGGGACTAGGCGACATGCACCAATGCAAAGAAAACCCATGATGTGATGAATTATAATTATTGCTCCTGTGTCCGTCCACCCCTAAGCATGTTACAGCCAGAAAGCACTAAGCTCAAAACAGGCTTTTCAATGTAATAATGTGATGGATGGAGAGTAGACAAAACGCAGAGTATGTGAATATATACTGCAGGTTTGCATATTATCTCCCCTCTCATTACAAGGCAAGTAAGAAGAAGTGTTACAACTGTAGGTTATTTTAGTGAGATTAATGGCTCATCATTTGAAACCATTATACATGACGCAGATTCTGTACAATATGAAGAATAGCCGACTATTTCCAGACATGTGACAGATTTGATAAGGTAAGACGGGGAACTGAGATAATGTAAATGTTATTTATTACACATTGTATTCAGGCTGATGAATATCCATTGTGCCCAATTATATATTGAAATGGGCTTATCTGCAGCAGTTTGCAGGTGACAAAGTGATGGAATGTCAGGACTGTAAGGACATTTGTCACTCAAAACAATAACAAGCAATAGTAGAAACACATGAAGAGCCTTTATTTCAGTACAAGTCCCTGGGCAAATGATAGAAAAAGTGCTTTTTGTTTCTGATTGAGTAGGGAAGGGGTAGAAACTCTGAGGGGCCATTCATTGTGAAAGGCACCCTAACACATTGTAAAGGAGAGCACAATGCATGGCGGTGCAACACAATGCACCACAATGCAAATGGCATATTTTGTGGGGCAATATGTTTTAAAAAAAGGATCATGTAAATGTTTTTGTTTATTATGGTGCATTGGCAGCCCATTCACAATGAATAGGCTGCCTTAATGCAATGTATGTTAATAAATACCATAATGTGTGTTAACATGTGTGCATTAACACACCGCAATGGAACGCTTAGGGCCAATTGACACTAGGCGTATGCTAAAATGATCAATTTTGATGTGTGGACTTGTGTCCATTGTTTGCTGGTGGTGCATTGCTTTCTTAAAACACAAGGCACCGCTGCTTAATATTTTGTATTACTTTATTGGAATGTTAAAGTGACACATTATTCATTCCTTTGCGGTGCAAAAATCAACAGTGAATTCAGTTAAGGTCTGGAGCGTTTAGCAAAAATGCAGCATATCTGCATTTTCCTTGATGCACTGCAACCCACATGTGTAGTGTGAACAGGACACATGTGCTCTTGTGGTGACTGGTATTGATCAGTTCAGAAAAATTCCAGGCACTGCATATGATGTGAACAGGCCCTTAAGTGAAAATAGGCCCTCAGGAGGTTTTGTTTTGCTCTTTTGTCCCTGCTATGATCACATCTGAGAGTCACAGAGGAAGTCAATGCTGGAAGATCAGATAGCTATATAACACCCAGCAGCTCTGATTGAGCTCAGGGTGGGGTAGTATTTTTAATTCAGGGCTACCAGCCCAACATATATTATTTGTAATGGCCCAGGAGGGAAATGCCCTCCTGCCCTCTAGCCTCATCCTCCCCTTCACCTCTGTCAGCTATTTTGTAGCAGCTGTGTTCCCTCTGTTGATTTCCCCTTATGTCTTGAAGACATGGAAGATCTAAGCACCACCCACCGGAGAGGTTTATATTAAAGTGCATTTATAGTCAACTTGTTTTTATTTAATTTTGAATAGAGCAAGGAAGAATTAGAACCCCTGTCAGTTTTCCCTTGCTGTTTGTGTCCCTATTGCAAAGGGTTTACCCTCTCTATTTGTTCTGGTGGCCATTGTAACTGGGACTCAAAGTTAGCAGAAATCCAAAAATTTGAGTTGTAATCAAAACATCAATAGGAAAGAAGTCTTTTGATGGGAAATCAATTTAGAGATAATTCCTCCCATTACCACTGTGTCTATGGCACAGGAAATGATGGGAAATCTCCCAAACCCCCCCAACAGGACATAAACAGCAAAAATAGATTGACAGAGAACCTTTCCCTAATCTATTTATAATCCTTTTCTGTGCATCCATTGAACGACTCAGAAGATTTGTAGATCTAATCTACTAGGCTTTACTGTCTACTGCAGGAGTTGGAAGCTAGGTATAAAACACAAAAAAAGACAACCTAGAGGCAGCTCCTGCTGGTGGCCAACCCCAACTAAACATACAATTGGCAACAGTCAACACAACTGAAGGGTGGGTGCTGTGTCCTTATATTTTCACTTTTACTCATTGAAGGACACAGTGAAAGTTTGTAGATCTAGACTACTGGGACATCAAAAAGCACTGACTACAATGGGCAGCCAAGAGGCAAGCAGCAGGTGCGAACAGGTCAAGGGCCAAGAAAATCACACTCTCGTCTGTAAGAACTTACGCCCAAGACTTGCAAGAAAGCAAGAGCTAATGCCAAAAAAGACTAAAGCTGTGTAAGCAATCAGTGGGTTGGCCACCAGCCCCTAGTGTGCTACTCCTGCAGAGGGCAGTATAACCCAGTGGTCTGGATTTACAGATCTTCACTGTGTTCTTTAATGAACAAAAGAGAAAAAGTTTTGATAATACATACACTTAAAGCATTTTCTTTTTCAGGCAGCCTTTTGTGCACTTTTTTTAACGACAGTATTGCTTTAATGTAAGCCTGTGTGGGCATAGGACCGGTTTGACAATAAAAAATACTTAAACAAATGTCAGCAAAGGCAGCTCCCTTGTTTCTATCCTGGCAGGTTGCTTTTCATTTTATCCTATATAGTTCCTAAATCATTACACAGTCAGCCAGAGAGAGCCTTTTATACCTGACGTCCTTTGTTTACTGGCCCCCCGTGCTTGAAGCTCCATAACAGATGCAAGAGCTGAAATGACTTTAGTTACGTTGTTGATTCTGTCCCAAAATTTATTTACAGGTCTACCTTTGCTGCTCTAACAAGTGCCGGTACAGTCTCACGCCATACTGTTTACACATAAAATAAACTGAAATTCTATGGAGCTTTTCCTGCCTGGCTGCTGGAACACAACTGTCAATCTGACAGAGTTTGGGGATCTCTCTGTTGTGTTCTAGATCTCCTTTATTCTGTCAGATTAATTTGCACCACCTGAAATCTGTCAGCTGTTATTACCACAGAGAAATATAAAGAAATATACATTTTGCGGAAGCTTCCATATGACACTGAAAGTACACAGTCTTCCATCAGTATTGTTATTTAATATGTTGCATCATCCCAGTGCAGTTCAGTCAAGATGATTTATTTCTTGCAGGATAACGACTACTGTAGCATGCAGCATGGACTTAACGAAATATCCCATGGATAAACAAACCTGCACGCTGCAACTTGAAAGCTGTAAGCACTTATTTTATTATACTTATAATAATAATAATAATAATAATAATAATATCGCTACCGCATATTGTTTTATTCTATGTAGAATGAACCACTTAGCCTTCTGCATTTAAGAATATATTTTTGTGTGTGTTTTGTGAAATTTGTATGTGTTTATAACAACTTATTTAACTGTATTGTGGTGAATTTTAATGTGCTTTGCATGTTTTTTATTGTGACTTTTGTATGCTTTTAATGAAGCTGCATGTACTGATAAACACTGGAAAAAATGTTTATGCCCTGTCAGAGATACTATTAGGCCTTGTTAACTCCCCCCAAACACCTTCCTAAAACCTAACATGGCGACAGCTCGGGTTTGTACACATGCCGTAGCAAATTTGAAGCGGCATGTCGTGTTTGGCAGGCGGTGCCACTTGCCAAATGTGGGCATTGAAGCCAATGAGACTTCGCTGCAGCCAAATGGCACACTGTTTTGCAATGCAAAATCCCCCTTGGGATGAAAAAAACCCCAGACATTCAGAAGGAGGCAGTATCAACTCTTGTAGAAGAAGTAGTCACCCGCACACTTAGATCCAGTGCATCAATCAGTCCTTTTATTGACGTCAGATGCACTTGGCATCACAGGTACAAAGCTTGTGTATCTAACGTCAATAAAAGGATGGATTGATGCATTGGACTTAGGTGTACGGGTGACTACTTCTTCTACATTTGGATTTATGCGGCGACATCTGCATTTCATTCAGCACCCTCCATTATAATACCATGGGATTCTGGTCTGGCAGTGCAATGGGCCAAGAATAAATTTTAGTATCAACTCTTGAACACATGTAAGCTATGGCTCAGCCATGTATCGCTTTTTAGAGGGGTGGTAGAGGTTTCTGCTCTTGTGGAAGAGAGAAGGCAGAAGACAGCATGCAGAACTGTTTCAATTTTGATAGATGCTGGATAGTTAAAACACCTGACAGTTTCTATTGGGTGAGTTTTCTGCACAAGTTTCCCGGTCCGCACATCTGTTGTGGCTATTATGAGGGGTTTTAACTCCCTCTGCTGGGTTGTTTCTTTATACCATGGAAAATTTACTATTTGAGAACACAAACTTTCAGGTCATCAGGAACCGAAATGGAAATCATGGCAAGGAGATCTTGTTATTGGAGTATCCTAGGCATATAAGAAGACAGGCTGACATAGTCCACCTATCAATGTATTAGAGAGATGTGCAATTAAAAACAACAGTTAAAAACTCTCTGAAGGGATTTTATCAAAACTGGAGCAGGCATAATCTGGAGCAGCTGTGCATGGCAACCAATCAACTTCTCTCTCTCATTTTCAAATCTTAACTGAACAAACTGAAGAGAGAAGCTGATTTGTTGATGTGCACAGCTGCTCCAAATTTTGTCTGCTTCAGTTTTGATAAATTCCACCCTCTATTTTTAAATGCACTATAAAGCATATTTAGCACTATAAAGCATACAATACTGGAATACATGCACATGTCCCAATGTGTTATCCCTGTAAACATGCTGCAAGTCCAGAAAAATGACTGTTGAAGTGCCAGAAATATGGTTTGTTTTCACCTTACTCTTTGACATGACAACACAACTCTGATTTCCTAAGCACATGGTGTCTGCCCTGCCTACTTCATTACTGATGGATTACAAAGAACATAGACCTCTCCTCATCTCCCCCACCTCCCTTCATCATCTACAGTTATAAAGTTATCCGTAGACTTAACCAGCTGCTTGGTACCAGTAGAATTTCATTCAAAATTTTTTTGGAGTGTTTATCGATTTTGCTAATGGGTTCTAATGGAAAGGTTTTTCTTGATCACTTTGACAAAGAAAATTAAAGGAGTAGAATAGAAAAATGTTCCTATTTCTCATCTAACTGAATGAAATTCTAACCGTGAATGTGATTTTTTTCAATTGTGAAAAATGGTACTCATTGCAATGTGCATGCATTGGGCAGAAAAGAAACCTGTTTAATACGCTTGGCTGAATTTTTTTAAGGTCTTCAAATAAAATTAGTTTACTTAGTGATGGCAAGATCAAATGCTCTGATGAATGATTTCAAAGGAACGTTCTAATGAAATTCTACCAGCATAAGGCTGGCTTTACTGATCAGGCTACCCCATCATGGAAAAACAGGTTTGCTTCATAGTTTTCCCCCTCTATTCCTGATCTGTACCTTCCCAGTGCTCCTATCTGCTTCTTTTGGCCAACAGATAAACAAAACAGTAAGTCACCAGCATTCCAAAGGTTCTCCACACAAATTTCTTTTTATTCCATGTGTACAGTCACATCACACAGTGTGGCAACATTTCGGAACGCATCCAATTTCTTCATCAGGCATTGTCATTTCAGCACGTGCCAGAGTCTCGTAAAGCACTCCTCTTTGGTGGTTTGATTTTAAGGGGTGAGTCCACCCAGATACCTACCAATCCTGTAAGATGGGAAAGAAGGATACCCTGCAGCACAGATACACTTGTGCTCATAAGTTTACATACCCTGGCAGAATTTATGATTTCCTGGCCATTTTTCAGAGAATATGAATGATAACACGAAAACCTTTCTGTCACTCATGGGTAGTGTTTGGCTCAAGCCATTTATTATCAATCAACTGTGTTTACTACTTTTCCAATTATAATGACAACAAAAACTACCCAAATGACCCTGATCAAAAGTTTACATACGCTTGTGATTTTGGCCTGATAACATGCACACAGTTTGACACAAAGGGGTGTGTTTCTCCTGACCTCAATATCATTGGGCCACTCTGGGGAGATCTCAAACATGCAGTTCATGCAAGACAGCCCAAGAATTTACAGGACCTGAAGGCTTTTTGCAAGGAAGAATGGGCAGCTTTACAATCTGAGAAGATTAAGTGCCTCATCCACACATACCACAAAAGACTTCAAGCTGTCATTGATGCTAAAAGGGGCAACACACCGTATTAAGAACTGCGGTATGTAAACTTTTGATCAGGGTCATTTGGGTAGTTTTTGTTGTCATTATGATTGAAAAAGAGTAAACACAGTTGATTGATAATAAATGGCTTTATCAAACACTACCCATGAGTGACAGAAAGGTTTTCGTGTTATCATTCATATTCTCTGAAAAATGGCCAGGAAATCATAAATTCTGCCAGGGTATGTAAACTTATGAGCACAAGTGTTTATAGCACACCCCTATTACACCTGATGAGTTTATCTTTCTGTCATTCTGTCCTTTCCTCCTATCAGCATGCCCCCTAGTTAACACATTAACATTGCAGTATACCCAATTGACTCATTATACACTCTCTCTCTGTCTGAGCTTTGCTGTACAGGGGTTTGCAAGAGGCTGATATAAAGTACATAGTTACATAGTGAGTCAGGTTGAAAAAAGACACATGTAAATTGAGTTAAATCTAGAGATATGAAAAAAAAAAAGCCTAAACAGAACGCTATGCCCACAGCTACCCAATGTTGATCCAGAGGAAGGCAACAAACCCCTATAAAGCATGGTTCAATTTGCTCCAACAGGGGAAAAAATTCCTTCCTGATTTCATAAGGCAATCGGATATTCCCTGGACCAATAATCTCTGATGCTTAATATACCTACAGGTGAAATTCGAATAATTAGAATATCGTGCAAAAGTAATTTCAGTAAGTGCTGCAAAAGGGGCCCAAACCAAATACTGAGTACATATGCATGCTTGTACTTTTCAGAGGTCCGATATTGTTCTATGTACAATCCTTGTGTTATTGATTGCATGTAATAATCTACTTTTTTGAGGTTGTGGATTTGGGGTTCTTGGGGTTTTCATGAGCTGTAAGCCATAATCATCACAATTATGACAAATCACGGCTTGAATTATCTTGCTTTGCATGTAATGAGTCTCTCATATATTAGTTTCACCTTTTAAGTTGCATTAGTGAAATAAATGAACTTTGCACGATATTCTAATTATTCGAGTTTCACCTGTATAAGAACTCAATATCCAGTAATATTTGTTCGATTTAAGTACAGTACTTACAGTCCACAACTTGCATCTGACAAAAATACATTTCATGGTGTATTAACGAATACAGAGTCGCATTTGTTTGTTTTATATGTTTCTGGAGTATAGATATAAAATATTTTGGTTGTTATGGGCGACATCTCTTATTTGCCATCAGCCATCTCTCACAGATCAGTTCCTGAGCTCCGTTAAGTGAACTGTTGCATCTCCCTCTCAGAGAGGGATACATAAAAAGCATCTCTATATAAAGTTCATACAGCTATATATAATTAATAACCTCTAATAGTTATTTGACATAATGACTAATTTCCAGCCCTGAGCATCCGCAACTGACTAGTTCATAAAATATTGACAACACACACTTAATTCGGAGATGAATTGGCTTTGTGGAAAAATTACCATTCGCTGTTTCAAAAAAAGAACGAGCTGTTTAGGTCAAGTGGCCTATGTGTGTACTTTCGCTTTTTATTTTATTTCCATTTGTTTGTGGAAAAAACCCTGTAGCTTGTCAATGCTAATGAGCCGCCATTTCTGGCACAAGAACAGATCCAGGATAGTTGAAAGGAGCTTAGCAAATTAATGTAACTATTTCTGCTAAGGGGTTCTCTAGAATTGTTACATTGTATCTCTTGTTACAAAGATGTATAATGTGAAGTTTTCAGCAGCGCTACTAGCATAGTGCAAACCAGCGAATGCTTTCTAAAGCAGCTGCTGGGGATAACAAACCCTAAGGCCTCGTTCACAGTAGACACAGTGCGTTCATGCCCGATTCTGGCCATAATGTGCCTTGCGTTCCCGTGCAGCCGATCGCACTGCGGCTGGAAGGCATGGCTATGGTGCCATTAACTTCAATGGACCGTCATGCCCCCTCCTGGCCCACAGAATAGTGCGATGCAGTGCGTTCTGGCCAGAATCAAGCTGTAATGCATTGTGTCAAGTGTGAACATGACGTCCAACCAATAGGTTGGACTTGATGGACATGTGTCTTTATTTAACCTAAAATACTATGTAACTATGTAACTATGTGAACGAGGCTTCAGTGTGGTGGGGAATAAGGGTTTTTGTATCCTGTGTTTTAATACAGCCATTGCATGCTTTTGTTTGTTACAAGATAGTAATTTTAATCAAATAAGTTCCCTCTCTGAGTGCGGGCACACTTTTATATGTGAGTAAGGTAAGTATAGTTGCTTTTCCTGCCTCCCCTTTATTAAACAAGCATTTTCTGAGTTGACTAGTTCTTGACTTCCCTGGCTGCATGCCTGTTAAAGGTCAATGACTTAAGGTGTCCATACACTAGTAGGTTTTTGGCTGAAAATGTTTGCTTTTTCCACGAACCCTCGTGCGATTATAGTTTGAATACCCCATCAAGCATAGTCAAATGTCGATTTCGGAAATCGTTCGTTACGTTAGCCATCTAAATATAGCCATTATTACTTCTATATAACCTGTCTTTTTTTTCTACAGGGGGCTATAACATAAATGACGTCATGTTCTACTGGACACGAGGAAACGACTCGGTGCGAGGTCTGAACACACTTCGTCTGGCACAGTATACTGTAGAAGATCACTACACCTCGGTATCAGAAGCTGTGTATGAAACAGGTAGGAGCAGCAGTGTCATTCACACCACATCAAACTCTTTTATATCAAGCTGTGATGAGAACATCTTTAGAAAGTTGACACAGCCTGGGGCAACCCTGGCCGGCTGCACCTGTCAGGCCGATACTCCAATACACAACGGGCATGGGGGGAATGGAGCAAACATAAACAAGATTTATTTGCAAGTTGAAAATCTTTAATGTTTTCACATTTCATACTCTGCATGCTGCCAAGATCATAAGCAATGTGACGCTGTCATAAGTAGAAACTTCAAAAAAAAATCAGGATTCTAGAAACTGAGAAGCTGATTCAATTATTGCATACAGGCAATGAAAGACTTTTTTAAGACATGTCATTTTGCCCATAGAATGGTGGGTCTTAAAGAGACTCTGTCCCTTTGTCCATTAGGAGGTGGGCTTTAAAGAGATTCTATCACTTTACCCATTGGGATATGGCTTTTAAGAGACACTGTTACTTTGCCCATTGAGAGTTGCGCTTTTAAGAGACTCTATCACTTTGCCCATTGAGAGGTTGGTTTTTAGGAGACTCTGTCACTTTGTTCATTGAAAGGTGGCCTTTAAAGAGATTGTCACTTTGCCCATTGGATGGTGGGCTTTAATGAGACTCTGTCTGGTTTTTTATTAGCAAAGATCTCTTTAAACATTATATTTTGGTAACCTAAGCTAGGAGGATGCACATCTAAAGTAATGCAGGGGATGCTTAACTATAACTCTATTTGCATGCAATGATTCTTTATGCTTCCAGTGGCTTAGAGTGACCATTGGTTGCCAATGGGATCTGCTGTTAGCGCCCCACAAACACCTGGTAGGTCAAAGTAAAGTGCTCACATGTACAGTCTTTTGCCTGGCTTGAATACTGTCGGGGGGTAGAAGGGGGTTCAGACTTCTATTTGGCTGGGACTATACTGTACATTCATTAGTGATCGAAGTGTAGCGAATAATCAAATCACTACATATTTAGAACAAATGGCTCCCCATAGAGTGGAGTACAAAAGTAGCATGTAGTAGCAATTAATGACTAACACTCACACAATGTTCTAAACATGTAGGATCAATTACTACTTCAAGCTTCTACTTACTCCAAAGGGAGCCTATTGTTAAAAACTGTAGTGATTGATCAGAAATCATGCTACTAAAAATCACCTGTGTGATCTCTGACTACATTTTGACATTATGTGGTCAAAACCTGCCCTGGAATTTCAGGGTCTCATCCCAACTGCAGGGTAGTTAGCCAGAGGTAAGAGACGACACTTTGATGTGCCTACTATGCAGTGCTGTTGTATTTTATTTTGTCCTTTTTTTGCTGCAGGGTCACTTTATAAAGAGAGAAAAAAAATGTGTGCTGTGGCTTTAATTGTGTCTGTGTCAGTTCAGCTAAAGGAAAATAAATGAGATGTAGCGCACTGCAGAGCTTGCTTCTTCCGCACTGAACTATACCATGACTTATGTAACCTGCATCTGCTTCTCTCCTGTTGCCCCCAGCATGCTAGATGGCATCAAAGGCACTCAGAGGGAATAATACTTTTTAGCTAGCCTGTCTGACAGTGCAGGGTAATGAGACAAGTTCACTGGACAAGTATGAAGTTTGATTTGTATGCTACATCAGAAACAGGAATTTACAGATCTCTGTCCATTGACCTGCTAGACAGTATGGACATGACAGGTAATTTCCTATATCAGAAAAGCAGGCAGTTATATTAACTGGCTGCTGGGGAAGCAGAAGAACACTGCCCTGCTTCTTTTTGTTTCTTTGTAACAAATAGATGCGTAATGTCTGCAGACAAATTTATCAGTGCTGGTCTAGCTCAATGTTTCCCAAATCCTGGTACTCAGTGGGCCTCACCATCTAATAGAGCCCACACACCTATCATTCTGATCAGTTAATAATTGTTTCCATATTCCATTCATGCCTATACACATTAAACGGCAAAGGCAATTCGTTTTTATTTTTTTTATTGAGGTTGAATTAAAATGCAATTGGACAGTTTGGATTTTTTTTAATTTGTTTTTCATTGGGGTCAGGGATATACTGTATTTCATCACTGATTATATTAGGGGTAAAATAGGTAGCTGCCTTGAGCCTTGGATTCCAGAGGGGTCCATTGACATGCTTGACATGTTCTGTATATCAGTGTCCTTCATAGTGTAGCGCTCATCCCCGAAGGAGCCGCTGGAATAACCGAGTCATCACTAGTTGTCTAGGGGTTTTTCGGTCTCCAGCTGCTCCATTAGCATTTAACCGCCCTCTTCTAGTGCCTACAAAGCTGATGTCCACTCTAGTATTGCAATGCTGAATAACTTTTATTAAACATATTCACACTGGGGAGAGAGGGTATAGGGATCCTAGACATCCAGGGTATAATAGGCATAGACTCCAGACTCACCAGACCGTGTCAGCATCTCAGTATATATCCACTTGTAGTACAGCAAAGAGCAATTGAAGTATCAGAACTCAGGGGATGAGTACAGATCCTCGGCAGGAGAGACACCAGACAGACTCCAGAGGTCCTCTATGTCCCAGGCACCTCCAGCAGACATCAGCTTCTATGGTTCTCCTCCTCTGGCAAACAACACAGGCCTCCTCTATACTTGAGGCCTAGGGAAACTCTTCCCGCACTCCAGCCAATGCCCACCCCAAGGCTTCAGGCCTAGCCTCTGGGGTGGCTGGACAGCACCTAGCCCTAAACCATGGCTTGCCCCGACTAGTATCAGCACATGGCAATTTCCTCCAGCATATGTACCCTATCCAAGATGGGCAGATCGTAAGTTTTTTTTAATCCCTTTACAACCATCGCAAGACTAAGGTCTTGCGATGGTTGTACAGTGTATGGCCACCTTTACACTTTGGTTTTTATAGAAGTGGTCACACTTGCTGATGATCAGATAATCAGGGGCATTTGATTAGCAGCTCCTGGCTGCTACTTAGCCTCCTAATTGCTAAGGAAGCAGTAAGGGTGTACTTAATTTTTCACACATGGATTGTCCATTTTGGCTTTATGTTTGTATATTAAATAATGCCAATGTGTAAAATGTCATGTGTTGTTTATCTTTGGTTGTGCTTACCTAATTTAAGTCCCGCTGAGGACCAGGTGATTTCTGTTATGTCCTGATGTCAAATCATAGTATTAGAAACAGAATGTCCTTTCTTTTTCACAGAACTGTATGCACACCTGTTCCCAGAAGGATGTTTTGCTTAATTTCCTAACACCATCATGTTAACAATTAACAAAAAGTATATTCCCAGATGAGATCCAATTCAAAACTTAAATACTGTCTTCCAAACCCTACAGAAATGTTTTACAAACCCATGTCAGAAGTAAAGCATGATTGGTTGTGTATTCTAACCCTTATGCATGATCCAATTAAACTAGCGAAGGTCCATGAATTGAAAACAGCCCAGGGTCCACAGAACCATTAATCCATCGACTTCTGGCATCCTAGAAAACACCCTTCTGTCTTTTACAAAACAAATATTCTTGTTTTCTGGTCCAAACCTAGTTTAAAATGCTCTGATAATCTTTAAATAGCTGTATGTGAGATGCCTATTCCCAGTGATAAAGGTAACATTGTATAGACAATAATTACATAGGAAAAAGCTGCCTCTTTACCTTTACCTCCTGTAGGAACGTGACTCATGTGCTTAATGGTAAATCCAGTTCTTGACAAGGTTTTAACATGTTTGCTATATTGATTTTTTTCCTCCAAATCAACCTTTTTAGGTACACAGAAAAAAATTGATTGAATTAAAATTCTTTGACAATGATTGTCAATTTAAAAATCAGCTCAGGCAAATTAAAATAAAATACTTTCAAATATGATAGCAAATTCATTTTGCATCTAAAAGGCAAAAAGTACAAAGTAGAATTAATATTTGTGTTACCAGCCTGTGTGGATAGAGCCTGAGGTACAGACACATTTTAGTCATAAGTGTACCAGGTTTGCATCATGCGTTATAGATTGGACGTATCTACAGTATATCTGCATGTTCTGGTGACCACTGTAATAAGTAGGTACTGGCTCTCTCACAGGGCATGTGTCACAACACCAAGGATACAAAGCACACCCTTGTAGACCCAAAAGATGAAACAGTTACTTTTCATCCTCTTTGCAAAGTTCACCTGGAGTTTCCAGTCACATCAGTCCCTGATGAAGAAGGACTTCATTCGAAATGCATTGGAGATGAAAGGGATCTGGACAGAGGTGTGGTTAAGCAGCAAAGATTGTTTATCCATTTTAGATCAGGGAAGAGTGCCAGCCTTTAGAGAGTAAACATCAAATGGGAACCAGGTCCAGAGCAATGATGCGCAGCCTGGAGTGAGTGCATGCAGACAGTGCATGCAGACAGGAAGTGGTTAAAAAGGCTGGAGGAAATTATTAGTGCTAAAATGCCCCAAAAAAAATGTCAAACCTATATTTTATGAAAAAAATGAAGAACATGGCAGATGTTTATGATACATGCTAAATGTTACATGCTAAATGTCATCCAGTTAGGGGGTTACTTCTGCTTTATATTTAGTTAATTGCATAAAGACTACTGGTGGACACAGCTTTTTAGATAAAAGATAAGACTTTACTAAACAATTGCAGACCACTATACAGACACTTGTGCTTTCCTTGATTATTCTGATTGCTGATCTTAACTCAGAGCCATAATGCCCCCATTGTTCAGCTACACAAACAGAAAGCTATACACTGGGTATGCCAGCTTACTCAATAAGGTGATATACAAAGTGCAGTGCCCATTGGCAATGAGAATACACCTTCTACTGATCTGACTGCAGCAAACTCAAATGTGCTTCTTTTTCTGCTGACTGCACATTCTCATTTCTCTCTTAACTGTTTCTCTTTATATGCCAGGGAGGTTACATTACTTTAGATCACAACAAATCTAATTTTCTCCTGATTTTCCCACACAGGGAGATACCCAAAGCTGGTATTTCATTTTGATCTGAAAAGAAACATCCTGTATTTCATTCTGGAGACCTATGTACCATCAATCCTTCTGGTTGTACTCTCGTGGGTATCGTTTTGGATCAGCCAATCATCTGTACCTGCAAGAATTTGCATAGGTAACATTGCTTGCTCTATTCTCCACAATAGTTTATTGTGACTGAAGGTTTCGGAAGCAAGATCAAGAATACTAACAATCACCTGCAAAGCTATTACCTTTGTGTTGGTGAATGATGTTAGCATGCAAACATTATTACAATAATCACATCAGCTCTGATGTGAAGATCCAGCCCTCCTAAACCCTAAACATATAGGGTTTGTTAAATCTCAGTTTAGAAAAATTGGTCCTTAGATATTTGGCAAAATTTGGCATTTGGAAAAATTTGGTATTTAAGAAGCTTTGAGCAGCTTTCTTGACACCCTTAAAGTACCATTTAGCTTCAGCCTGGAGAGCCTATTGGGAGTGCTGACTGTCATTTAGAGCAAAGTGACAGAAAGTTATACACTTCTATCACAGCTCTTTTGCTGCCTTCTGCTCTGTTGGTGTCCTTGCTCTTTTGAAGCTGGGCTTCTAGTTATGGGGAGCATGTGACTGATCCCTTGTGACAATGGTCAGGCCAATTGCCAGGCATAAACCCTGTCACTTGGGCAGGGAAGTGACACCATCCACATCTGACATCCAAGCTTACAGAGGGTGGACTTCTGCAGTGAGCAGGAGAATGGGGATGTATACTTTGCTGGGAGTGGGTTGGTTTCATCAGCAGACATTGTCGCTTGCCTGAATAAGCAAAGTACAAATAAACCTTGCTGTGGGGTGGGCTGCCAGAAGACATTGTCCCTCGCCCTAAATAAAAGCAAGGTGTTAACAAACAGTGTTCACTCAGTGCCAGTGTGTAATTAAGTGAAGTATGGGCTGGCAGGTGGAACCAAAGACAAAAGAGCAAGCCATGTGGCATGACTTTGCTCTGTTGCAGTTAGCAACCCAGCTAGGTCTCCTCCCTGTCCTCAGCCTATGATTGGACAGTGAATGAGCAGCAACAGACTGATGAGTTCTCTTTGCTCTCTCCTTATGTAAGCATGTTCCTTGTCAGCAGATTTAAATGCACCAAAACCTGGTTGGTTCAGAATGTTGCCCCTTCCAGTTTGATCGCTGCTGCACTGAGCAATACGGGAGGCAAGAATGAAGTCAAAATTAAATATTTTTACTAGTTGTAAGTTTGTTATACTAGTTTTAAAATCTGCCAAGAGTTCAACTTTAATAAAGGTTCATGTTTATAATATCTGATTATCTATGAATGTAAATGTGATGTGTTACGTTTGTGTTTGATGATTCCTCTAGGAGTTACTACTGTTCTTACAATGACCACACTTATGATGGGTGCCAGGACCTCTCTCCCCAATGCCAACTGTTTCATTAAAGCAATTGACGTCTACCTCGGAATTTGTTTCAGCTTTATATTTGGCGCACTTCTGGAGTATGCAATTGCCCATTTCTGTACTTTTCAACGCCTAGATCAAAGAAAAGCTGCCCAGGTAGTATATCATCTAAAATACTTTAATGCTGTGATAAATTTGGTTACAGATCTGATGTGTAGGCTTTAATATATAAGCTATGTGGCCAAACGTTTGTGTCCATGGCCATTAATATGGAGTCCATACCCCCTACCCCCTCCCTTCTGTATCTATAACAGCCTCCAAACCTCTAAGAAGACTTTCCACAAGGTGTTGGTGTGTGTCTGTGGGAATTTGTGCCCAATTCACTAAAAGAGCACCTGACCTCTTAAAATGCTCTTTTAGTTTTCTCTGTTTAGTTTTTTGCTGTTTTCTCTGCACTTTATGACCACATTTTATTGAATTGTAAATGTTCTAGTGCCATGTGCCCTGGGGAACTTTTTATATTATCTCTCATTATTGATATTAAACGTATCTGTCAATGGCATCTTGAAAGTCTCCAAAATAAGACATGCAGTCCACACATCAGAAAGATCAGAGCCTTTCCCACCTAAACTGAAATAATACACATATCAACAGCTCACTGAAGACTTTAAAACCCGAGAGTTTCAGTTTTAAAAAACATTGCTGCAATAAAAACATCAGCGTGACCCTGTTATATCCAATGTACCTGTCACCTAAATTCAATAAAGAGTATCATTTTGTAAGTTGAAGCCTTTAAGCTTCAAGGGAAATGTCTAGATATTTATTGGTACTAAGGGAAAATCGTAGTAGCAATACAATGTTGTAGCTAAATAAATGTTCCAATGTAAAAAGTCATTGACAGAAACTTGGGCAATTAGAAAAGCAGCAGTTCAAGCAGCAATGCATAGAGAACAGCAGTGGAACCTTATAGTGTTGGACCTTTGTATGGAGTTTAAAAAAAAACAGTTATAACATAGTAGCAGTCTATGAGTCTCTTGTATCATAGTAGCAGTCTCTTGTACCTAACATGTAATGATGACCTCTGCTAAGCCAGCTGTGCCCAAAAAAGGCAAGCAGCAGGCAAAGGGCTAGTCACCAGTATTGCCTATAGGCTCACTGTGTCTTGTTTGGTCTCTGTGTGGAGGTAGCCATCAGGGCTTTGTTTCCTGATGCCAGAGCTGCCTCCCTGTTGACTAGTGATCTGATAATTGGTGGAGGTCAAGAAGCAGCAGGATTGGTGGAGGAAGAGCAGATTGACAGAATGGATGAAGCAAAAGTAGGGAGATGCATGCACTGCAGGTCTTTGGGTACAGCTTGCACTCCAGCAAGCTCTCAGGAGAACAATGAGCTACACCGTAGTGACTTCACACAATCACATACAGATCTCCTGAGACTAGCATTAAAAGCATAGTGCCTTAGATCAGTGGTTCTCAACCTGTGTATCCTGGGGACCCACATTTGTCCTTGGTCATTTAGTCGCGACCAAAGTGGCACAGCAATGGAACGCACAGCATTGGGTTATAGCACTTTCCGATGCGGGTGATCGAACTGTGGGTGGGAGGTATGTTGGGGGTGCCATTCAAAAGATCCACCCAGTCTCCATACATTACGAGAACTGGAGTTGATCCTCAGCCTGGGGTCCAGTGTGGGGTGCTGTACTGTGACAGAGCTCCATCCATATGTGCATTGCTTGTACAACTCCCTTTGCGTGCCCTGTAGGTAGCCAGAATGTGACATCACTCTGGTCCAGGACACATGAGGGAGCTGTAAGTATAGATGTAGCTCCCTCACGGCCATAGCCCCAGCCCATCCCACCTCAAGCTGACACTCTGCATCGGCCAGCATATTTTGAATGGCTATTTGGCCCAAGAACTGACAGTGCTGCGCTAGGGGGAGGCTGATGAGCTTTTCGCCTTGAAAAGTGGAAGTCACGCGGCGACCCACTGAACATGGGGTCGCGACCCACTTTTGGGTCACGACCCACCAGTTGAGAATCAAGGCCTTAGATGATCTCACACTGCAGATAAAAAAACTACAGAACATGAGTTCCTAGGTACTGTCACATGTCAAAAATGCAAGAGGAATTACAGCCAAAAGCTACATTCAGGGTAATGCCTAGGCAAAATTCACCCTTCTACTAAAGATATTACCTATAAGATATCAACTCTATACTTTTTGAGTTCAGGTCCACTTTCACAGTCTTACAGCAGTTTTATATGCTGTGTCAGGCTTCTGGTAACATACCGCCTGTTCTTATTGCATAACAGTCTCAGGGAACGTTAGAGATGCAAAAATCAGTTTTTTGGTAGGTTTGCGGATTTAAACTCTGCTAATTGTGTTACCAGTACAAGTGCATTTAAAAATAGGATATGGGTGGTATTGATAATATAACTCGTGTGGAGAGCAATAGAAAGAGATTCGTGGACTCGACTATACACTCTACTATACACTCTACTCTCTCTAGCGGTTTCTATAGAGTCATACATAAAACACTTACGTCAGCCAGTGTAATTGTATCCCCTGGCGTAGATAGAATTCTTCTTTATCATCTGTTGATACAGAACTTTAATTTTTAAGGGAGTAAACAACTTTAAAAGTCCTAGTATGCGATTAAATGCATACCTACTGTATCCAACTATAAAACATAATCTACTGGCAGCTGTGTGAATTGTTCCTCACCGCTGCACATTGGTTTACCTCTACGCTTTATTACACTTCTATATATTTTATAATCTTAATTAATACAGCCAAGAACAAGTGTAAAGATCAACATCTTAGTGGGAGCCTCCTAAAAATAATTGCTAATTTTCTGCCTCTCAGAACAATAACTGTTTCGTGCAAACCACAGTAGGCTTTGTACTTTTGCTTGCCAGTGAACTGAATTGTCTTTTTTCCTTAGAAGAAATTATTTCCAGTTATCTACTAAACCCATTATGACTTCCAAGCTGAAATAACCTTTTTTACCCACTAGAATGTGGTAACTTTTTAAAAGGATGTACAATATTTGTACATTAGATGAAACTTTGCATTACATGTTACGATTTTCAAAACAGAACTCTGTCCATGTCTAACATTAAATGAAGCTCTACATTTAATTTTTTTTTCCATAACTCTCCCCAGCCTCACATTTTCCATAATCACCTTACTGCATGACTGTAGTCATTAGCAAAGATTTACCTATCTTTTTAGAAAATTATATGTCACAGGTTATGCTGTATCTGCCTCGGTAAATGCAGTCAGTAAAGTCATAAGAGTTACAGATTATAGAGGAAGAAAGTTGGTAAGAAAAAACTTGTCTGCCGTAAATTAAAAATAGAGAAATCAGATTCAGAAATTGAAAGTGAGATTTTCTTACGGGCACAATTTAACTGTTTTAATAAAGGCAGAATAAAAACAACAACATTAATACAATAGTTATACTTATTGTTGAAATAAATAAAAGCTGTGCAGTGTTTTGGAAGGTAGATGGTTTAATGTCTTCCTCCTCAGCTGCACATACTCACGCTTACTTTTCTCCCCTGCCACTCCATTCAGCTTTCAGAATTGTATAAGATCTGACACGTTGTATTCGGAGCTTACACAGTGCTGAGGACTCTTCTCCTGCCCCCATGTGACAGTGCTAGACCAATCACCAAGCACCAACACTTTCACATGAGAAGATGCAATTGAGCCACATGCTCATCCATATTCAGAAGTATTGGGATTTTTTCCATTCTTGTCAGCAGAACATAGCATTGGAAAGCTATGAAAAGGTAGGTAAGTCTGGCTGGGGAGTATGGCATTAAAACAAATATGCAGCTTTGTGCTGCATGGACAAGTCACTGGTTTTAGGTAACACTGATCTCTGTGATGTCCACCGCCTGCCAATCACAATTCTAAAACCAAAAAAGGCAACTAGCGTTAAGTTTTCTCCTTACGGCCTTGCAGACCTAGGGGCAATTGAATTTTAATTTGAACAAAGTAACCTGTCCTCAAAAATACAACAGTGACGTTAATTGCCATCTGCTATATTTTTGACAGAAGGACCTTGAAGAAGAAGAAGAGATTGATATGAATGGAACCATTGCAGCTGTTTCCAGTGGAGAGAAAACCCAAAGTGAAGTTGACAGCAAGAGAAAAGAAAAAAGCCGATCTGCCTGGTCTCCTATAAAGAGACTCCTGTGTATTTTCTATTGCTTCCGAGTTGAAAACCCCCATCAGATAGACAATTATTCCAGACTCTCCTTTCCACTGAGCTTTATCATTGTAAATATTTTTTACTGGGTGTACTATCTGTATTTCTAAACTGTTTTGTCTGATTCCAAACTGGATGGCATTAGCGAAGGAAGAAATTGTGCCAGGGCCCCAAAGCATCCTGGAGTCTTATGAACTTGATGCAGGAACGAGGGCAGAGGCTTTTACTCATAAAATGTGTACTTAAGCTACCAAGCTCTGAACATTCAATGTCATTGGGGAAAACCTTGAAACACCATATCGCTTTTATGTCTTGGCGTGACTTTGTGCCCTCCTCCGATCCTGTCATCCTGTGCATAGGGCTTCACAGCGTAGCTGCTTCTTGTTGTTTTTAGGGTTTTGTAAGCATTGGAAAACAAAAAAAATAAACCTTAGGGATTACTAGTCTCCCCTAGTGATCAGGAAATCCCTCAACACTGTGTGCCAACTAAGATTAAAAATTATAACATTATATTACAACGCGGATAACCAAGTTGTCCATCTATTTTTTTTTAAGGTAATGTATGATGGACTGGTATATAAATTATGTATTTATTTATTATGGTTATGGCTAAATAAATGTTTACAAATATATATATATATATATTTTTTAAAGTCAGA